GGTGAAATTTAAGACCAGGCCACATTATAATATAAGTAGGTTGGCACGGGACGGGGCGGCGGTGTCGGCGCCGGTAATGGCCTACGGTCGTTACACGCGGTAAGAGGTAATCCGAGGTCTAAAACTTGACCATAAAATTGCAATCAACGTGGTTCGCTGGTCGATTTATTTGCTCCTAGTGATTTACCGCATTTCGTTCCCCCCCCCCCCCCCGACAACCCCACTTGCAACACCCCCACCCACCACAACCAAAACCAAACGCGGTTTAAACCGTATACGTAACATTGTATACGTGCTTATAAAACACAATATGGTACACGCACGACGTTATACATTACAACGAAATATTGAAATGTGTATTATTGTGACGATTGTATAATGCAATTGTAATATCATGTCCGGTTTCCAGCCGACGGAATTGTGTGTCCCGATAACGTTATGATACAGTCACAAATTTAATTATTGTTATCATAACATATTATCAACTATAGTGGTCAGCTTAATAATGATGATAAGACCAAATTATTATTTCGTTACCGTCAGTGCCGGCGCTAGGTATTGCGGGGCCCTGGTCATAGGTAATAGCCTTTAGGTTCTCAGAGGGTAGTGAAATTTTAGCTTTTTTTTAAATCAGGATTTTAAAAAAAGTACTGTTTATATATATAATATAGGTAAATAATTAAATTTAAATAATGCTCTGTCAATTCTCAATGAATCAAGATATTTTAATGAAACAAAAATCAAATTAAAGCTTATTTTTATCTTTGTTATTTACTTGCCCCATATAGAATTTTATGTAATACTAATAGCAAAAACAATCCGATTTTACACTTGCCCAATGAAAAGGGGCAAGTGTGACGTTTTAAAATTAAAAAAAAAAAAAATTATTCTTAGGTGAGTGATAATATAACTCTGTTGACTATAAATTCCAATTATGTATATCTAGAGGTGTTACATTATGGAACAATAACAACTTTAAGTTAAAAACAAAAAAAGTATCGTCAAATTCAAAATTAACTTTTCATTTTTGCGTCACACTTACCCCACTTTACCTTACCTACTTGTGTAAACGGAGACAACACATTCGAGTGCGATTCCTCCTGATGAAACCTCGCTCAGCACAGAATTAGTGGCGTAGCGTGAGTTTCAGTTAAACCTTTGAGTGGAAAATCGTAGGCTAATAAATTCATAAGGGCTGGTTATTTTATTAATTTACATTTATTTTAACAACTACATAAAATCATCAATTAAAAATAAATAAATTCATCAAAATGTTTGAATAAAATGATAAATTGTTTAATATCTAAGTACGCGACCGCTGCAGGCAGAATAATGCAATATACGACGGTAGACCACGCAGTGCCGTAAAAACCGGGTGTGCAAAGTGTGCACCGCACACAGGCCTCGGGCCTCATAATATATCGAAGGGCCTCAAAAGATCTAAAGACTAATATTAAACTAATATAAAATTATAAAAATACATAAATTATTTATTATTGATTTGGAAACGAAACCAATGTTATTTAATTTTTGTTTTATGTAGCATGGAGTCGTGATCACTGTTTTTAGATTTTGAGCGGAACGAACAAATGTATTGATTTTACAAGATGTGTATAATTTTTTTTATTTCTGTCGGTCATCAATATTGGGTAGTAAATTCCGAATTTCGAGATCAGCATTTTTTCTGTTAAAAAGTGAATCTAGTTGGTAGTTTTTGGAAATCGAAACCGAAATTTTTAGTTTTAGATATTAAAAAGCGTCAATAAAAAAAAAATTGCAGTCTATTTACTTAAATCCAAAAATTTTATTTTTTGGTGTTACTCGAAAACTAATAACCGAAGAAAATTGAAGTTTTAACCAAATATTTATATTAATATTTTCAATAAATTACATTTTGGAAAATTTTTACTTTTTTGAGTTAGTTATAGCCTTGAGAAATTGTTTTAAAACTATAGATTATTTTAAATTAAAATTTTTTTTTGTTTAAGCCCGAATTTTTGTCTGCTGACTTTAAAAATTGCAAAAAAAGTTTTTGAGGTGTGTATTGAAAAAGATAATAGGAGCCTCAATATTTTGGTTTTGCACACAGGCCTCAAGTAGCCAAGTTACGGCACTTAGACCACGGTATTCGTATTAAGATGATAATTAAAAATCACGGGGCCCTTTAACAAGCGCGGGGCCCTGGACAAATGTCCCATTTGTCCTCCCCTAGCGTCGGAACTGGTTACCGTCCGCCTTTTTTTTTAAGACGACCGACCAATACGTTTTTATAACCGTTCGCATAAGTAGCCACTGAAAAATGGCATTGCAGGGCCAAAATATTAACTGTTGCGAGTCGGTGGTTTCTGCAATCCGTGTGTCGTATATCTATAATAATTTGTTTGGTTATTTTATGTTATACTGAATGACGTTACACACTGTTATGGATAACTATTTCACAACGATTATTATTTTGTGTGCCCAGCTTCCGCGTGGAAAATGTCTGTGGTACATTACCTGCTTAAAGCACTAGTCATATTTTGAGTTCATCAGGAAAAAAAACCCAATGAAATATAATTGTCATTCAGCTGTCTGTTAATATCTGTAAGGTTTGGTCATGCGTTCCATAATTTAGTGTTATTATGTCGCGTTTTTATACAGTGTAGGTATCCACAGATATTATAGACGAATTCAATATTTTATTTAACTCATTTGTATACGGTTCTTTTAGATTTGTGCACTTCTATATATTTCATACTGTTGCAATTTACTTAAATGGTTATATGTAAAGAGTACGTTGAAGAGTAGAACCATTTATAATATTATTGAACTATCGTAAAAATATAAATGTAATTATCATTATTGTATATATTGTTTTTAATAATTTGTGGTAGACTTCGAACTACGGAAAATTTGAGTGTAGATAGATACCTAATTTATATAAAAAAAACCTGATCCATTATATGAATACTCTGTTGATCACTGTAACGAAATGAAAACATAAGTCGAAAAAAGTTTATAGTGCTGCGGGGTTTGCGACGAATCCGTGAATAAAACTATTTTTGATTTAAGTGTCCCGTGGTACATTTTTGTGAAAATTTCAATTTAAATAATAATTTTGATTTAAAAAGTTTGTTTTACAAATATTTATGTTGAAACCTTCTTACAAATTAATATATTGGAATTCAATTTACAGCTATAGAATATCTTAAATTATCACAGAATTCTTAAAAACATTCATGAAATAATTTAAAAGAGCGTTTATTTATTCAAGTAAAATTACTATAGTTGGTACCTAAAGGTTTTTGCGTTTTAAAATAATTATTTCATGCTTGGCATTTAAATAAATGTAGGTCTATTCATCAAAATATATATTTATTATTTGACATGCATACCATAATATCATATTTTATTTCGCTGTTATACCAGTTAACAATATTATGCAGATCCACTGCGAAGGAAATCAATTTTAACCAATCATAGATTAGTATTAATATTACTGGTGGGTACATTGCTATCAACAAGTAGTAGACTGTAGAGTGTAGATATATTGTACGGCACACATTTTTCCAATAACAACAGTATGTACCTACCTATACACACGTGCTGACATTGCACTGCTGTATAAAGTTTTCCCAGAACAAATAATGTACCACAAGTGGTAGTATAGGACGTTTAATTCGACTACAGAAGCTAATCATATCATTATAACGATTTGGGAGTTTATTGATATAGAAAGTTAGACGTGAACAAAGTCTAAAATAAACGGAAATTGAACAACACACACAACTTCGAGGGCTTGATTGAAAATAAACGATTGATGTAAAATAAATTACGAGGAAAGTAATAAATGAAGGAAACGGAATAATCAAGAAATGAAAAATCGTAAATCGGTTGAGGTAGGCACAGTTACAGTTCTAGACGATAATTGTTATTATTATTAACTGAGGAGGGTTGTAACCGCGAATGTGACAGTTGGACAGTTGGACTTTTGTGGACTGTAGGTTTTTATAAATATTATAACGTATAATTGATCTAAACGACTATACATATTTTATTATAATAAACTATTTACATGTAATAATATGATAGAGTAAACATTACAGGAGCTGCATTTGAGTTGATAGACAGGGCACAGCTAGGGCTGTGACAAAATTCGGACGACGACTGTCGACAGATTATTATGATCGCTCATATACGTGCATCGATATTTTATCGTATATAGTATTATGGTCTATAATAATAAATTATACTGATTGGATCAACAGAGCACCATATACGGTGGAGACGCAACTAGGGTTGTACAGGTAAATCATCATGTTTGATAGGATATCTGATCTGTTTGCGAGATAGGACTTATTGTTAGTGTATTGACTACACAACAAGATCTTATACCTAGATTGACATACCGTCTCCGCTCAGAATCGTTTTTCTTATACAATGATATTATATCATTGAATTCAAATTTAATACTATCCATTATACAGTGACCCACTTGTAACCTACTGTACAGCAGAGCACCTTTTTTATTTTTGGAATTAATATTATATGATTGTATTAGTAAATAAAATAATATTTAATAAATAATATATATTATCAAATTGTTCTTTTATACTTAAAAAAGTAATATAATATACTACTAAACTATAAATAAAAAAATACATAAATATTTTGTTTGTGTAATGAACGATATAGATACCTATACACAATTCTGTGATATGTTACACAATCACATAAACTGTTTTCATACTTTTTAAAATTTTGTGTTACACGGTGGAGTATTACGTGGAAATTTCCTGTAAAAAAGGTGCTCAGAACATACAAACGTATACTACTTGCTACACATCTTACTGTTCCCCAAAATCATAGTCTTTTTCAATTCTTTCATACATGATAAAAAACAAAAAAAAATAGCTTTTCAAAATTTCAAATACAAAGATAATAAAATATTCTGTTTAAAGTGTAAAGTTGATCTTGTATTCTTTATTAAAACATATCATAAAGTTTAAATCGAAGTTTATTTACTTTTGTTTATTTACCTTATTCGGGTCTCTAGCACACATTGGACACTTGATTTCAACAGATGAATCCTCACCAACCAAGCTATCCAGATATAAGAAGCTAGAACTGGAAAATCTGTATGGACAATAATAATTGAACCCAATAGTAAGCTCGTGTGTTGAGGTTCCAGTTATTGCAGATATAGAATTTTCATAATTTTGTGTTCCATAATTTGTTGCACGATTTCCACTAAATGAACCGTAACAAATATTCATGAAGGTTTTGGCTAGTGATGTTCTATAAGTCATCATATTTTGGAGGAAATTAACCTTTTTGTGTAAATTCCATTCCGTACATTTATGTTGTCACCTTGTATCTACAATCCAAATTGGTTTTGTATTTAATAATAAAACTCCGGTTAGTTTGAAATGTGATGAAAATTTAACATTAACATTTTTTTTTTTTAATAAATGTCATTAAATTTTAACTGAGGCGATTTTTAGCTGTACTTAATGTATTAATAAAAATATGGTTTTTTATATTTCTACTTTTTATTGCGACACAAACAATTTTTTAATCACCTCTGTTATACATATATAGACCCTAGTAAACTTTTCAAATAATCATAATCTGTTTTAAAATTTAAAACCTGTCAAACCTAATTCCTAAAGTTGGATCCGGCTTTTGGGTTAAATACCACTTTTTAAAAATATTGTTTATAGGAGCAGACAAATTTAAACTTAGGTGCATGTGTATTGCGCATGTATTTTAACGGTACCGCTAAATATAATCCATGAAAAAAAAGGTCATTGTATAATTTTGTACCTGTGAAAGGAAGACGTTTTGCAGAACAATTCAATTGTTAGGATGTTTTAGATTTGCAGTGGAACTTTGGAAACCATTTTGTATACTGTGTAAATGTGTAATTATTGGTATTTCGGTAGAATAAGTACCGAACAAATATGTTTCGTACAAGGTACGACCACTTTATTGATTATAAATCAGATAAATTCATTGTGTTACTTGAAATGGGTTAAACTTTAAAATTTGTCTGTATAGGTTACCCGGAAATGGCATTTGTTCTTCAACAAAGATCTAAATCAAGCCGCTGTCATGTATCAGCATAATTTAGTAGATTATTAGTTATTAACTCTTGACTTGGTTTTAAAGCAAGACATAATAATATAATAACGGTGATCCTTATATTGTGTTATCCGACTTCTTTCTATAGCTAAAAATATAATCTTTTTCTTTATAAATAATTCCGTTCTTGTATAATGCGGGAATATAATTATTTTTTTCACATGAATACGAATATCGGAGAATGTCATAAATTTATAATATTTTGTATCAATTGGACAAGTCATTTTGACATGCGTCAATATATTATTATAATATGCGTATACTATGAGTATTGTAAAGCGCCATAATATCCAGAAGCACGTCAATAGTAATGGGCGAATACGTTAGGTAGGTATTTGAATGCATGTCAATTAGACGCATATTACATGAAATATGAATAGTTAGTAATAATATGTAATTTTAATATTATGCGTGCACCTAATATTATATTATTAAAATATTATAAACAAATAAAATGGTCAGTCGATTGTGAATAATATAATAAACAAAATTATAGAGATTATTCACTATTTAGTTTGATATTTATTGCGTTTTTTTCTGAATTATAATGTTACACAATGTTTGGAAAAATTCGAATGAATAAGGATAATATTTTTTTCAGTTTTCAAACTTTTAAAGTAGGTAGTAGGTGTACATTGAATAAATAATACAATTCTGAAGTACTAAGGTCTTAAAGTTTATAATAATTCTAAATGTCCGACAGACTTAACTTGTTGAGAGTTTACATTATTAATACTATTACTACAGTATTAATAAAAATGAATAATATCGAACAAGAAATTAATGCACAACTATTATACTGTTATTTCATGAATTGATTGCAGAGTGCAACGTTTACTATTTATTTGTTAGATAATTATTTTTCTTGATGTGCATTCTCATATTAAGCTTTTAATTGAAATGTGAAATACTCAAATACCCATGTCTGAAAACGTACATAATAGGTGCCATACGTCCGAATGTAGCGATCGATGAACATAACATAATAGTCATTGTATGGTCGTAATTTTTTCGCTTGCAAGTTTCAATCATGATATTAAAATTCTCAGATATTACACAATGTGTTCGATAAACTAAAAAAAAAACCTCAACTCCTGTAGTAGCTCGTAGTTGTTATCACCACATTACATACATAAATCATTTATTCACCCTCGATTTTTGATACTCGTGTTCATTATTTCCCCTACTCAATCGGTCTCAGTGTGAATTCATTACCCCTATATTTCATTTTTATTACCGTAATTATTATTAAAGCTTGAATTTATTTTTTTTAAGTAATCGGTTGTGGTCACGCTGATGTCCCTCATATAATATTATTATGTTCTCATTCCATTTGGGATAAATATTCAAAAGATTTTTTTTTGGTTATAAATATTATAATAATATATAATACGAATTAGGTAAGTGTAATGTATTTATAAAAATACTGTCTGAATATACCTAATATAGAATTTTTTTAAGTGAAAATTATTATTATGTTATCTAATTATTTGTTGGAGTATTATACGATTTGAAATGCAATAAAGTCGAGTCATAAATTTCATAAATTTTAATTTACAACCTTTTGATTAAAAACAACTTTTATTTATTTTGTTTTACGTGTAACTAAATAGTAATATTTATGGTCTATTTCTGTACTATTATAATATACTAGCTGAATAACACTGAATATAATAATATATGCTCAAGAAAAAAAAAATTAAATATAAATAAAAAATCGTGAAAATATTCATAATATGCCTTACTGAAAATCCGGTACCTACATTGAAGTACAATGATATCAAATAGTACCTATATAATTTGTCAATATTTATTTATGCATTGTATGTATTTTTTAATATGATAGAATTATAATTACATATATTTTAAGCATACAATATATGTCACCCCCTGCCAATGGCGTTGCGAACTAAAAATTTTCCAGAGGCAAGTTACAAATATCCCAAGTATTTATGCATAATAATGTATATTTATATAATATAACTAATTATATTTCATATCGTTATTGACAACCTATTGATAATATCATATTACATTTATTAGGGGACCCTCTGGCTACCACCTACATCTCTATTTAAGAAAAATTTCAGAGGCCTCTGAAATTACCGTTCACCACGCCACTGCGCCCTGCTCTCTATACTTGCCAATCGCCCTAGAATGATAGGTCCCTCTAGGACCTCGGATGTTTTATCTAAAAATATTTTTATATTTTAATACGTGTACTGTCTTTTTCTGTTTTAAACACCATTTATTGGTTGCCATGACAATTATAAAAAACTGGGAAAAAAATGTATAGCTGATTTACATGATATAGAGATATATTTTTGTCTGTAACATTAATTAAAAACTTTGTTTATTATTATTTTAAATCGGAAAATATATATTATGTATTTTTTCCTCAAATTGTAACTGATTTTAAATATTTTAAGATTATTTATAATTAAATGTAAATCACCAAAACGTCCCATTCAATCCCATATCGTGGATACCTATTCAATTTTTTTTTTTTTATATTAAGTATACAATCTATACTACTTAGTATAATAAGTATATGTGAGACGTGAGTGTGTGACTGAAAACATGGTATGCGTGATTAAGAACTAAGAGTCGGGGCCAGAGTGGCGCAGTGGTCACGCAGTTGACTACGACTCACACAGTCATCGGTTCGATTCATAGCTCAGTGCAAAATAAATTTGTGTGGTTCTACGCGATCACCATTTCCCCCTGCTGTCGTCCGATTGCGTCATCTGGTTTCCAACTAGGTCCCACTCCACTGGTAGTGAAGACCGCACATGCCTCCTCTTGCAGGAGAAGGGGGGTAGTATCATGCATATAGTGATACATACATAGATAAATAGATCACATGATCTCCCTACTACCCACTTGTGATAAGCATTGACGAAGACCTAGAGGTCGTTTCAATGAACAAATAATAATAATAAAAAAAAAAAGAACTAAGAAGTCACCCACTATTTACCCTTTGCTTGAGGAGGAATCCTACTCAATTTTAAAATTATTTTGTGATCCAAGATTTTCCATTGTTATTCTTATCAGTTGATATCTATTCACACAATTGTTTTCACTGAAATGTCATATGAAAAGCTCTTATGTTGACCACGAAAAGTTTACGGGCACTTGGATTTTCATTAAATACAGACTGATACCAGCATGTTTTGGAGGGTATACCATAAACGACGATAGGGGCTTATGTGTGGATAATCAAATACATCCGTATCCATATCCATATCTATACCCACATCTAGAATTTAATTTTGCTTATTCAGAGACAGACAACTTGTTATAACCACATAACATAATATAAGATAACCTTTGTTCCGATTAACGAACATTTTACTTAATACGTCTATACGAGCACCTACGCTTAACTTCTAACATTGAAATGTTTATTTAGATTACATTATTTTGGTATAATAATTACTTAAAGTTAGACATTTGGATATTTAAATTAATAAAGTTTTTTTTTTTTTGCAAGAAAAAAACTTAAAAATTAAAATATACAGTTTTTTGTATTTCGGTTTAAATCAAGAATTATGTTAGGTTTTAATTTATTAATACATACTAATTTTATTTAGTAGAAATATTTTGTATCCAATATAAATAGTAAGTTTATTATCAATGTTTGCATACAATTATTATCATTTATAATTATTTTTCATATTTGACACCGACACTTAGGTATATTATGTATGATGAATTGTCACTGTGAATATATAAATAGTTTCAACCAAACAATTTTAACCAAGAACAAGGTTCTAAAATCTTGATTTGAAATACATTTAAATAAAAAAATAAGGTATTACAGTTTAGTTTTAAAGATATTTAAGTAAAATAAGTTTTTATATTTTTATAAACACACAATACACATAACACTTAAACCTTCTTGAATATAATTGGATTTTTATTGAAAGTTAATACATTCCAATACTTAATTATGCATCATTATGTATAACAATAATATGTTGTACACTGTTTGTAAAAATTATATAGACGTTTAAACAACTAATGGTGTAACAACGACATAAATTACAACTATAGGTATTACATCTAACTTGAACATAAATTATTGTTTCGCTCCAAGGTATTTAGATTGACGGGATCGGTAATGGACTTTTAGTAGATGATATAATATAATATGCGAACGTTTATT